ATATATATATATATGCACACGTCACGGTGCGGTATCGGCTGTTGATCAAGTCCCAGTGCTGTATCTGGTGTTTGTCACAACGCGCTATTATCCAAGTCATCTTGAAAACATTCTTATTCCAAATGTTGGCTACATATGACGTGTTTTTTCTCTGGCCAGAAGTTCGATGGTAAATCCTCCCTCTTCAAGTCGGAAATCCAACGACCAACCAGTCCGTGGAGGATCAGGATTTAGAAAGGTGAAATAACTTTTTTTATTTATTTATTTATTTTACCCGATGTATTACAACATCCAATTGCCATGCACGTGTAGGCTGATAAAACAGACTAAATGTGAGATTAAATGTGTAATTTAAACTGCCCCCCGATAAATTAGACATCGGAAGATTGTTGATGAGAACAACCTGTTGTTTTTCAAACCATGGCCCTGTTTGAATTCATGGGCTGCGTCCTCACAAGGCCAGATTATGTCATAGCGCGGCGCTGAAGTCAGGTCAGATTCCAAGACTCCTCTTTATGCAGCCTTAAAGTGCGTCCCTTTTGCCCGATTTAAAGGACGGGTCCGATGTATCCTCGCTATCCTTGGATATTCCAGGATTCATTGCGAGACCAAGCAAGCCGGCTGCTCCGTCAAACTGTACTTGCCACCGAACAGTGGTGAATATGGGAAGTTCAGTTTAATATAATCCAGTCAGTGAATAGTTCCATCTGAAATGAATGAAAATAGTTGTTTTAATGGTTATTGAGTCAGATATGTGGCGGTAATGTTTGATTAATCTAAAGGTTTTTATCCGTTACTGGGTAAATGGGTTTGGCTTTAATTTAAGGACAGATTCTAATATATCTGCAGGGAGGGGACTATAAATCTGATGGGATTTTTGTTTTTTTATTGCCGTTTTGCACAATATGCTTAAGTATTTTTTTTTGTTGAATATTAGAGATATGACAGATATATTTTTATACATACCTTATTTAGATTTACTTATATCTTTCTACCCCTTTTATAGAATAGAAAATCTCTTTATTGTCCCATAATGGGCAGATTTACAGCAGCAGAAAGATTATTGAAAATGGTCACACAAATGAGGACCTTAGAAAAATGTGGTCCATTTATTTATTTGTTATATTTATTTT